TTTTGTGTATTCTCCTGTTGGTAGTGGTGGTTTGTGGTTTTTTTTTGGTGTGTTAGTTGTTGTGTTGTTCGATCCCTCGTTCGAGCACTCCGGCGAGGACGAGTTGGTGTTCTCACAGGCGGCTTCTTCTCCTCTCCAAGCGTGGATGGTGTTTCGGAGTCCAGATCTGAACCGTAAGCAGTCTCTTCTTCAGATCCGTCTAGGCGGCACGAGTAGCCGCAGTTTTCGGGCTTGAGGTTCCGGTTTGTGATTTTGTTGGATCTCTTTGCTTGTGGATGTGGATCGTGTGCGGTCCCGGGTGGTTAGGAATCGAGTTTGTTAGGTGTAGGGGAGGTTTTATTTTTAGTATTTGTTTTTAGGTGTGTTGTTTTTCTTTCAGTTATGTTTTTGTTATCTTTATGTTTTTGTTGGTCTGTTAGTGCAGCTTCGTCTGCATTCAGTGCAGCTTCGTCTGCTTTCAGTGCAGCTGTGTCTGCTTTTTGGAGTGTTGTTTTGTAGTTGTTTGTCTCCTTGATGGAGTTTGTACCCCTTGCGAGTGATGACAAGGGGGTTGGTCCAGTCTTCTGGTTCCAGTGTGTCATTTGACACTTCGATTGTACTATGTTGAGTTTTTAAGTTATTAATATAATTGCCGTTTGAAAAAAAAAAATAAGGGAAAAATGAGATCATGCATGACGTTGTTGATACTGTTAGATAATGTAGAATAAACATGTAAATGATTATGTCCTGAAGATATTTGGTTGAATAGATGGGTAATTAAATGATTTTATGTGGAAATTTAGTAATTGGACATGTAAATTCAGATATAAGGAATAAATGTATTCCATTGCTCAAAAATCATATATGCAGCATATTTTCATTTTAGTTCATTATATTGGTATCTTTTCAGGCATATTTTCATTTTAGTTCATTATATTGGTATCTTTTCAGTAAAAAAAATTACTTTTTTAGTAGATATCAAACATAGTACATTAATTTGAAGAATTCATCAAATAAGGTATGCCAATTATTAGTGGCAAGATAAAGACCTAATTACTTAAATTTATCACGGGTTCGACGCAAGCTGTCACGGCCCAAAAATGTAGTTTATTCATATAAATTTAGACGAGCAAATGAACTCCAAGTGGTCTGAAATTTTGGACATACTACATTCTCGGTGAAAAGAGTTCAGCTGTAGATCACATACTTGAAATTGACTTGATATGACACAAGAATCAAGTTAAAAATAGAACAACTCAAATTATTTTGGACGAAAAATTTAGTAGGAAAACGAAATCTAATTGAACTAAAAATTTATATTCATGACCGTCTTGATGAGACAAATACGATGGTAAGTCACCCCCACTGAAACTTATGCTAGAGGGTACCAAAACCGCCCCTAACTACAGAACAACAAATTTGAGCTAAAATTATTTTGGATTACAAATTTAGCTGGCAAACGATATTCGACTGACATCAAATTTGGTGGGTACGACTGGTTCGACAAGAAGAATACGATGGTGGATCATCCACATAAATTAAATATCAGATGGCATTGAAATTAAACCGGATAGAAAGCGCTCCAAATTTTTAATAGACCCATAAGGAATTTCAAAGTTCTAATCAATCGTTTGACATTCTTGGTCGGGGATGTTGACGTTGTTGTCCGAGTCGGCCTTATAAAAGTGGGGAATTGAAGACGACATGCATCATATATATCACTCACTTATCAAATTGTGTTAGCAAAATTAACTACTTATATATTTTCATCCATTAATTAATTTCTTGATCAGTTTGTATATTGGTGGAGATGTCGATGGGAAGAGTATCGTTGCAGTTGTTGGCCGTGTGCTTTGTCTTCAAGTTTACAAATTTCATTTATGGGATTAGTCTTGAAGAATGTAAGTAATAGTTTTTCGGTAATTTTGCACTATAAAAAATGATGAAATTCCAACAAATTTTTTTTTTATGGAAATATATTTCAATGAAATTTCAACGGCAATTCCAATAAAAAACTGATTGTAACCCAATAAAAAATTGGTAAAGTTGGATCTGTCCAATAACAATATCGGATGGGAAATTCCTCAAAACTGGGGCAATGCCACTGCATTCCCGAGTTTGAAAATCCTGTGCGTGATCTTTCTTATTCATAAAGGCGAATAAGTTAAATACTACATCTAAGTTTCTGTCAGATGTTCGGATTTTCTTAAAAAAAATATCTCATCAAATGGGATATAAGTATAACCAAACTACACTAACTATATATTTTGTCTTTTAAATCGCGAGGATATATAGTATGCTAAACAAAAACAACTTAACGGGCACTGTACCTCCAGCACTGGCCGACAAATTCAAGCAGATGGATTTAGTGTGAGTATCCGTCAATTATAATATATTTTAATTTTAAGTACATACACAAAAGCCAATCATCCTTGGAAATTTAAACGTACGTTCCTAGCACTTTATTCTTATGTTAAGGTACAATTATTGTTATTATGCAGGGATCTGACTAACAACACTCACCTGACCGGCCCATGTACTGTGACTCCGTGTCAGTTCTAATCTATATATATATAAAGAAGAGCAACAAAGCATTTAATTTTATTATCATGCATTAAATTTTATTCTCCCTCCAAAATTTTCAGCATTCAATTTCATTTTTTAAGTTACAAAATAACTTGTTTGAATGCCATAAATTATGAGCATAAAGCAATCAAAGGAGTTACAAAATTGTACTCAAATTTTAAGTTTCACTCACTCATGAAAATGGTCGGGTGTATTAGCATAAAGAAAATGGTTGTAACGACTCTTCCATAACAATTACTTGATCAAAATCAATTTTGAGAATTATTTTCTTAATTCATATTGTTTTTTTATGCATTAAATTATGATTTATTTTTTTTATATATATATTTTTATCTTTTTAAAGTATTCGTCTCTGTCAAATGCACAGGTTGATTACTAGTGTGTTTCAAGATTTACGACAGAGTTGTTGTACTAAGACTTATTTGAGTTGCATTACCTGGAAATTTATATCATATTAATACTGCTAAAACAAGGTGACTTTTGTCATCACTAGATACTACTACTTTTCTTATTTTATATCCTAATTAATGTCAATGTCAGACCCTATGTTTTATATCTAATATGTACCTGCTTGAAGAAGGCAACTTTTGTTACTAGTTTTGCTTATATGAATCTATTCAATGTCATGAATTTTTATATCATAGAATTGCAACATTAACTCTGTTTGTTGATGACTATTTAGTACAATGGTGAGAGTTGGAATCAGTGTTGAGTTCTAATGTTTATTTGTGATGACTTTAATTCTAATCTTATGGAATGGGTCAATTGTGGAAAGGTAGGGTGAACTCAAGTCGTATAAATCTCCAGGTCGGACATCGTCTAATATGTCAAAAAAACACAAAAAGGAAAAATAGGAAAAAACTAAATTCTACGACAATGTTTTCGGACCTGGCTTGGGCAGTGACACAAGCGGCCGGTCTCCAGGTCACTGGTTCAACTGTCGGTCACCAAGTCAATTACGGATAATTATTGTATTTTTGTTTTTCCTCATAAAGATCAATAAAATAATTATTAGATGTAAATTTTATGCCCAAGTCTTAATAATGTTATATCTTACTATAAATATTATAACATAAGTATCTTACCATAAACATCTCACGTAAGCATTGGTTAGACGTTGGTTAATAAATAGGCCAAATCACTTAAAAGTGGACAGATTCGAAGAAAATAAATTGGGGTTATATGAAAATAGTAAGTAATGTTTAATCACTAGCTAGATAATATTTTTCATGTAACACGGCCCAAACGAAATCGAACTCAGTCTTTCCTTCTACGCACGTTGGCCTTGTTCGCATGCGTTAGCGACTCTAGAAATCGATGGCCAACTCAAACAAATCGTTACATTCTCGTTTGTTTCTATATTTGGCTTTTCGAGTCCTTGTTAGTGAGACCAATCGAAATAATTATTTTAGTCCTTAAAATTTGTATTAAATAATTATTATATGGAATAGTTGAAAATAATTAGATAAATTTCTCTAGATAGAAGAGAACAAACATATAACATGTCCCCATAACAACTCGATCTCAATAAAGACTAAAACCAAACCATTCAAAGTCAGGAAGTATAATTCTTTCGGATTCCTAAAGAAAGTCAAACTACTAATGACATGATTGGTATGAAGGAATGACATGGGAATGGAATGATCATTCCCTTACTCATTCCTTATCCCATGATTGGTATACTTTTTGGGAAGGAATGACCATTCCAATGAGAATGGCAAAACCCATCTCCATGGGATTAGTCATTCCATAGTAAATGGAAGGTTTTCTCATTCCCATGTGTGTAGGAATCAATTTTTTTTAAAAATAAAATTAACAAATAATAATAAAAAATAAATATATAATATATATTATAAATCATGATTAAAATATATTAAATAAAATTATTTTAAAAAAATTCAAATAAAAAATTGAAAACTTACTTTTATTTATTTTTTAGTTAGATATATTAAATACTTATATAAAATTAAAACTAAAAAAAGCATTTATATATAATTTAAAAATACATTATTTGATTTTTATATATTATTAAAAATAAATTATTTTTTATATATTAAAAATATATTATTGAAAAATATTGAAAATATATATTATTATACTTTATTTTTAAATATTATTAAAAATATATTATTTTAAAAAATAAAATTCAAACAAAAAATTGAAAACTTACTTTTATTTACTGTTTAATGAAAAAATAAATATATATTATTAAAAATATATTACTTTTTATTTCTAAAAATTATTAAAAATATATTATTTTTTATATATTAAAAATATTACTTTTAAGAATATATTATTTTTTATATATAATTTAAAAATACATTATTTTATTTTTATATATTATTAAAAATATATTATTTTTTATATTATTAAACAATATATTATTCTATTTTTATATATTATTCAAAATACATTATTAAAAATATATTATTTTATTTTTATATATTATTAAAAAAAAATTATTTATAATTTATTAAAAGTATATTATTTTTTTAGAAAAAGCTTTTATTTATTTTTATAATTAAAAATGATAATTTCAATCCATTCCAGTCCTATTCCTCCTGCATACCAAACGCATCAATGACAAAACATATTTCATTCCATTCCCATAATCATTCCATTCTTCAATTCATTCCATTCCTACGAAATTTCATTCCATCATACCAATCATGCCATAAGAGTCGAAAAACATGCTCCAAAAACATGGGCACCAAATCTTCTTGTGCAGAAAGAATGGATTATATAATACTGTGTATACTATTCCCTCATACCTTGCTTTTGCAGTTCAAACTATCTAGGACTTGTACATTTCGGGCTTCAAGATGCCAATATAAGGCAAGTTCCTATACACCTCAGCATAATCCAGCCCATAGCCCACCACAAAACCATCCGGGCACTGTCATCATATGCAATAAGAATCGTTCGTTCATAGTGCAGAAGACAAATTCAGTAATAAGAATCAAATTCGAACATCTAACCAAATGATACACGCAAATGGATGCAAAACATTGCATAACTTGGCACGTATATTGAATATGAAAAATCAAATAAACTTCTGTTTCATTCCGGTAGCTGGAGTTCAGGGAGGATAACAAAAATAAAGCAGCTACTGGCGTTATTTGTTTTATTTACAACAGAACCTAAGAAAAGGTGTCGAGTAAGGCATGCATATTTACAAAAGAAAAAAAAAATGCAGGGAAAGAGATATGCTTTACGAGTTTGAGATATCACCTCAAAGCCGCTGTAGTACTTCCCTTCACCGACTAATTCAAAATGGACTTGTCTTCTTGACGGTTTATCGAGAAGCGTGCACACAGATACTGATGATGCACCTTTAGTTGTCAGGTATTCAATTAGAAGAGCCAAAGTTCTCCCAGTATCTACAATATCCTCAACCTAGGCAATTGAAAAAAAACAAAAAAAGGGAAGGCGATTAGCAAATCTGCGTAAAATTAACAATACGAACAGAGGATTTACGAAAACTATACTAGTTCTGGTCCGATAACTGAAGAAGTACTTCAATAACCAAATTACAGAATTCATGCGAATAGCACATGGAAAGACAAATGGATGATGTTATACTAGAGAGAAGAAATGTGGGGTGAGCTAAAATGCAGTCATTTTTAATTATTTCAATAGACCATTTACCTTGTCTCACACACACAGAGGATCTTTGTTTTGTTTTTCAAATTATGTAAAGTGAGCCTTAGTTTCCCATCCTTCTTATTTTACATCATATCATACATAGAAGAGGTGAGAGAAAATGAGTGAAAACAGAGGTTGTCCTCAAATACCAAATTTTTTGGATTTTCTTCCCGCTAGAGAAATGTTTCTACTCCAAATGCATATGCTAAGATAAGTTTCAGGAAAAATACTATTCCTCACTTTTCTCGCCAATCATTCCACTAAACTTTCAAACTACCATCAAATCGCTATTCATTACACTTTCCAGAAAGTTTCGCAATTCACCCACTCACATATTTAACGTGTTGATCATTTGGAATCAATATTATACTATTGTAACATAAGATCAACTCTCTACACAGCATTTTCACCTCAGTTTCTATCCCTTTCAAATATTATTCATTTTCTTCAAATACTTTACCGTCTCTAACTCCCCACAAAGATAAAAACTTTCCACAACAAGATACCATCTACCAAAAATTTGAAGCTTCCCAACCTTGCCAATTGTGAAAATAACCCACGAAAACGCATTTTGCGAACTAAGTCGGATACACCAAAAGTAGCAACATCTTCTAGAAAAACTATTACCGGGACGAACGCATCAACTTTGCAACATCATTACCTTTGTAAGATCATAGATACAAAGAGCGAATTATGGTTTCAAAAACTAGGTTTTAGAAGTAAGAAAATGGGCAGTCTCTAACAAATCTTGAAAATGAAATCAAAATCATCACTAAAAATCTCATTTACATAGAATAAAAAACAAATCTCAAGCTACACATCTTAAATGGTTAAACTCCATACTCCTAATTTTTCACTAACTCGAGCCAAGCATACATACAATCTGTCTGCTACATTTCAGTCGGGGACTAAAAATAGCTATATCGCACCTTAAATTTCTCCATTGTAAATTCATCGAACATATCAAAGACATGGAGATGGAATCAAATCGCACAAATCTTTCCCCTCACTTAAAAACTGACATAAAAAAAAAATACAAAATAAATAAAAACAAAATTCACAAGACAATGAATCCATCAGTCCCTTACCAAAACGACGTGACGTCCTCGAACATCGACTTTCAATGTGGACGAAATCGTGGGTCGGCCATTGGAGACCGTGCCTGACCCATACGACTCGACCCGAATCAAGTCCACGGAAATGTTCAGGCGAATTTCACGGACAAGGTCGGCCAGGAACAGAAACGCGCCGGTGGCGACGCCCACAATCACCGGAGGAGATGCCGGCGATCTGAAATCGCCGGTTATTTGAGAGCCGAGTTCCGAGACGCGCGCCCGTATTTGCTGCTCGGTGAAGATGACTCTCTCAATATCGCCGTGAAAATCCATGGACGCCGGCGGAGGAGCACCGTGACCGTGCAGAAAAAAAATCGGGTGTTCTTTTTNTACAACCACAAAAAAACCGAACGGAAATGTTGTTTAAAAATGCTTAAGAGATTTATCTCATAATGAATATTAGTTGATCAAATCCCGTTTAATTTGCTAATACAAATCATTTGTCATTTTCTCTCCAACTAGTACAGTCCCCGTGCGATGCACGGAGGTATTATCTCGGTCTTTTTTATATGCAATGTTCAGTTAAAATTCAAAATACTTACTAAATGAAAGATCATGCTATTAATAATAAATAAATTATAAATACAATGATAATAAAATCTATATATTATTGAACACTTCCTTATATACAACGTTCACGGTTTGATTCTTTGGCACGTCATAGTCGCCACAAATTAGGACTTTCAAACTCATTTCTGTTTGTGACACGGGAGACAGCAACATACAATTGACCATTACTAAACACTGGTTTCTTAATAAATAAGGCCACATGCGATAATGATTGTTCCTGGCTCTTATTTATGGTCATGGCGTAAGAAAACATAATGAGAAACAATCAATCCAATAACATCTACAAAAATATAAGAAAATGCATCATATTGAAATGTATAACATATAAAATTATTACAGATTTTAAATTTAAAAGAAAATCGAAATAAGAAATAAACAAAAAAATTATAACGTACCAATCAAAATGGCTTCATCAATGTTACAAACATCCATTAAAGTTAGAAAGTTCCTAAAGTCAAAACGATACATAGGAAATCACCTCTCCATTTGATAAATCACCCCTCCATATATTTGATAATCTTGGTTTGACCATTGATAATGATCTTCCTTTTTCCTATCGTTGATTTATGGATGCCAATATTGCTTTCCACTGGATAGTTTGTCAAGATATAAGCGCCACCTTCTTCAATATCACCGATGACTTTTTGGATATTGACAGGTCGAATTATGCCAGTAATTCGTCCTCCCTACAACATTTCATAATGAATAATTCAATAAATAAATTATAAAAGATGTTGCATAAAATGATGCATTTAAATAATAATAAAAGAATATATTACCTCAAAATCGTGAACGATATAATCTCAAGAACATTTCGGTAATTGCATACGACTTCAACTCGTTGGAACATCCTAATTATGCGTAGCTTGATTGATGGCTTATTGGATCTTTTGATATCCTTGATTACTCCAAAATCCGAAGCCATTTTCAATGGTGATGTAAAAGCTTGTAGAAAAAATTGTTTTGTGGGATGTATTGGATGTAGAATACTTTTTGTTCAACATTGGTGATGTTTATATAGTCATGTGTATATGCCATATATCTGGGAAATAAAAAAATATTTACGTAAGGTATTTAATATGATCCGATCCGATTGTTTTTATTATGATTATGATTGACTTCTAAAAATATGTGTTATTGGTTTTGTTAAAAAAAAAATGTGGAACGTGATTCACTTGTGAGGGACGAACGAATATTTAGAAGATTATGTAGCAAAAAATAATGGAGTTTGTTACAATGAAATTTGGTAAGACTTTTTGAATAGATTGAATAATAATATTATTATTTTGATATTTTCCTATTTATTTGGACAAATCCAAAACTTTAATTTACGAAATTATAATATTTAATTTTTTGAAACGTGTAAAATTTTCTAAGATAACTTTTATAAAACAAAATGTGATCAAATCATAATTGATTTTTATGCCTCAATATTCCAAATCAAACCTTACAAATATGATTATTTACTATTAATATTTTATTTTTTCAAACGTCTGATTCTCTTAGGTTTATATGAAACAAAGTTCAATCAAATTAAAATTGATTTTTATGCCCGCACTAAAACTTTATCAATATGATATGTTTATTTTTATTTTTATTTTCAAATCCACAACTCAAATTTTCGAGAGAGAGAAAAAAAAAGGAAACAAAATATTATCAAACCTTATCAAATTTTCGAGAGAGGAAAAAAAAAATGGAAACAAAATCTTATCAAACTTTATGAAAATATGTGTTTCAAAGAAAAGTTAACAAAATTCCGTGATTACCAAAATCCTATCAAATTAGTTAACAAAATCCCATTAAATTGGTTAACAATATTGGAACGCATTTTGTTAGGAAAGATTTACGTAATTTATCTATCGAATAAATATCATATTAACGTGTGGACCCAGTGATATTAATTTAGTATAGCATCCATTATATCGAAATAATTTTTTGTTTGATTTATAACATTAATTTGAATGGAAAAAAAATCTGTAATTGTTGAGATATCTCAATTCAAATCGCAATTTTTTGCCATAAGAATCTTAAAATTTGTTACCAATAAAAATAGATTCCCATGAGATTAATACTTAAAATGAATTAAATTTTGGTATAAGAATCTCTAAATTTGTTATCATAAGAATCTTCAATTTGTTACCATAAGAATTCCATAAAAATATCAATATTTAGTATAGCATCCATTATTCTCGAAATAATTTTTTTTTTTTGATTTACAACATGAATTTGAAGGGGAAAAAATCCAAAATTTTTAGGATATCTCAATTCAAAATCTCAATTTTTTGGCATAAGAATCTCCAATTTGTTACCAATAAAAGTAGATTCCTATGGAATTAATATTTAAAATGAATTAAATTTTGGTATAAGAATCTCCAAATTTATTACCATAAAAATCTCCAATTGTTTTGGGATATCTCAATTAAATTTGTTATCATAAAAATCTCCAAATTTGTTACAATAAAAATTTCAATTTTTTTGGTACATGTGTTTTTTCCTAAATTTCCATAATAGTAAGTCAAACCATTTATTTTTTTAGTCAAACTTACTGTAAAGTATTTTTCCAACAACCTCTTTATATTACTATAGACAAGGTAACAGTATATCTCCATATTTGTCAATTTCACTCCGACAAGGTAACAGTATATCTCCATATGCATGTTCTATCGCTATATTATTTTTTTTTGTATTATTTTGACAATATATATATTAATAAATATTATTAACTTTAAAATATAATTTTAGAAATGTAATAAAATTTTTGAATTTTGTGAATACTAGATACATGTTTTAGTAAATAAAATAATCTTTATATAAATATTGTTATATTAATTTAAATTTTTATGTTTATTGATTGTATGATTACAATGCAAATAATTAAATGTGTGTAAAATAGTATATTTAATTTAGTTATATGTTGATATTAAAAAAAATATCTATCTATATATATAAAAATGTTTGATTAATTTTTAAATAGTAACTATTTCCCTAAAAAAAATCTATTTATTATTTCGGGAAATTAATTTAATAATTTATTGTATATATCCAATGATCACTTATGGAAATTGCGGCTCATTATTTAAGGAAGTAATTAAACTAGAGTAATGCTATTTAGCCAACTTGGATTACAACTCAAGTGTAAATACATTATCAAGAAATTAAAAAATAATGCATTTACACTTGAGTAGTCAAGTTGTAAACCAAGTGGGCTTTGTAGCATTACTCTTAATTAATATATGGTATAAAGTGGACGAATTTATTTTTGGTATTGATGGTTGTTTCTATAGTAAATAAATTAATCAATATATGGTATAAAGTGAGCTAATTTTTTTAGGTTATTTGATGACTATATTTTGGTAAGAAATTTGTTGAAAACTTAATCAATATACGGTGAACTTTTTTATGTAATGCGCATGCCAATATATTGGTTTTTAGGCGTGAATTTTAATTTTTCGTATGAAATTAACATAATAAAATTACCGTAACTCCGATAAAATATTATGAACTGATATTTTGATATAGTGTGCGTGTATCGATATAGAAAAAGCTCTAATCAATTTTTTTTTGTATAATTAGTGGGTCTCGATTTAATTCATTTACTGTTATGACATTTCAAATATTTTTTGTGTGAAATGCATTGTTTATTTTTTTTAGCATGATAAGGCGCGTCAATTTTTTTGGCATAAAAATCTTATGACTGATTGTTTTTACTCAACTACTTAAATATTTCGATTTGGATATTTTGTATAAAAATAAATTATTTTAATTAATGAAACAATATAAGTTTTATATTTATACTAATTATTCACATAGATTTTTAAATATATGATAAAAAATTACCAAAATAATTATTTTATGGAATCACGTTATAGTCAAATTGAATTTTTGAATAAAAATTTTGAAATGACAAATATTTTGAAACGAATATAATGTAATTTATTATCAGTTATGTGCAACGCGCGGGTTGTCTTCTAATTTTAAATAGACATTTTTATGTAATTTTGCATAATTTAAATTTTGAATAATATTTTCAATAAATTAATAGGTACATTGTATTAATACTGATTTCATGCTTTTAATTTATAAATATTATTTAATGGGAACTTTTAATTTATAAATACTAATAAATATCTCTTACCCGTGCATCGCACGGGATTCGTACTAGTTCCCATTAAATTAATTGTATATTTATCTAAAAAATAAAATTAACTACATTAATGTCTAATTTAGTTACCATATCAGTTGAACTTCCTTCTTTATTTTTTTTTTCTAGTGTATATTTTTAGTGTCAATTGAATATTTTCAGTGTATATTGCGTTCATAAACATTATATTTCAGTATATTTTCAGTGTATGTTTGCATTTGAAATATCGAAAAATGAAACAACATAAACTGACTTATATCAAATAAACTGAAAAATAATATATTTTCAGTGTATGTTGTAGTTTAAAATATCGAAAAATGAAATAACATAAATTGACTTATATCAAATAAACTGAAAAATATACATTAAATAAGCGTTGAAAAACATTATATTTTACGTTCACATCGGCCAGGAGGCCGTGGTGGCCGCGGGATGGCTCAGGAGGACGCGAGACATATACTGTACATATACTCCAATCCAAAATCATCCTCCGTAAAAGATATTCTTCGTCTCTCTCGTCGACTCCATGGAGAAAGATTCTCGGATCGCCTACCTGGAGATGACGACCGCGGGGATGGCTCGGTAGACGGCGGCGTGCACGTTCTCAACGACATTCTCGAGGACGGCGACGATGAGGGCTTGATGCACGTTCTGCGGCTAGGAGGGCTTCCGGTCGTTGTTGCTTGGCGGCTGCTACGTGGCGGTTGCTTGCGGCGAGGATGTCGGCGACAAGGTTGGTGTCGCCGGAAAAAAGAA